CTATCGTTACCTCACTTGCGCGATGTCACATTCTGCCGACTTTAGCACTCATGCTCCATTGTCACGCTGGCCATGTTGAAGTTGGTTCCGTGATGGCGAGCGCCTGCCGCAGTACTGGGCGACTGCACCCGAGACGGCTGTGCAACCTTCGGCGGAAGGGCCTTTGCACTACCACCATGCCCGGCCCGGGCCGCCCTGAGCCTTTGGACGTTGTGTATCGGGGGCGGAAAAGAGGGGGGTGATGACTAGGGGGGTGGATATTGTCGTGATTAACGTCGACGCTGTATTCTGCTGTGCTGCGCTCGTCCGTCGAGCATGATGGCGCCAGCCCGTGCTGGCGAGCGTGTCTGCCGCGCTCTCTGCACAAAAGAGGGGGCCCCCTCCTCGATCCCATACAGCCGCGGAGGCGGCGGCAAAAGAGAGAGAGGAAGGAGAGGTTGACTCAAAACTTCGCTCGAGTCGCCTCGGCTCGACATGAGCCTAAAATCCTTCTCAACCGTTCCGACCGAACTGGATCAAAAGAGGGGCCCTGCACAGTACAAATATGGAAAAGGAATGATGAGAATGAGCCCGACACTACCCTCAAGATAGGTCGAGAAAAGCTAAAGCGTCGGCGGCCTCGGCTTCAGCGTCTGTAGGCGACTGCGGCTTGTCCTGAGCGAGTTTGTTGGCTCGCTATCGTTTCCTGGCTGACATGAAATCCTCGTCGTACCTGATGATCCAGGTGCGCCGTGCTAGCCACAGAGCCAGAGGCTTCCTTGCCTCGGGACTGTCCTTCGTGAGGCCGTCGGTGAGGTTGAGGTCCGAGGGTACCCAGACCAGGTGCTGGTTCTTCTCGGGCCCGCAGTTCGCCTTCACATGCAAAACCTCCACGCCGGTCCTCGCGTCGCTCAGGCCTATGCCGAAGCTCTCCTTGTTGTGAACTGAGTCATAAACTCCCCGACTGTCGATCACCAGCACCGAAGTCATGGATTGCGCCACTTCCTCCTGAGTGTGTGCGGTAACTGGAACTCCGTGCATGACTGACCACAGCATGCGCATCAGGTACGCGGCGTTCTCTCCGTCGTACAGAGCCTGGCCCTCGCAGCCGTTGGTGCCGATGCCGGTGCGCTTGAGCTTGTACGACCTCCAGTCGGCGATAGATACTGCACATTCCTTCTGCTTGAGAATCTCGGCCGTGGTGAAAGCCACGATGTAGCCTCCTCGTTGGAGTAGCCTGCTTGCGTCGACCCACGTCACAATCACTAGGTCGTCCCACTTCAGCTTGCCGCCGCAGTTGCTATTGAAGTTGTGGAACACCAATGAGTCACGAGCGGTCCGCTTCACATCGCGTATGAGGGCGTTCGTGTCTTTCAGGTCCCCGAACGTCGCCTCGTTCACCCGCTGAGCCAACAGTGACACCCGACATGAGAACTGTGGTGCTGTCTGTGTCGCTCTCCACTGGCATTTCATCAGGCCCGCCCTGAACTGGGTGACGTCCTCCGGTTTGAGCTTGTCATCCTTCGAGAGATACTTGCCGGACTCAACCCTGATCTCGAGGAGCTGGTGACAGAACTCCTCCTGGCTGGCAAGGATCTTGCCCGACGGCTCCTGGGTGATCCACATGCCTGCCCACATGCACGGCGTGCTTCGCCATGGAGACCACCGCAGCATCTCCTTCAGCATGTTCTTCATGTCGAGGTAGAACTTGTTGTCGCTGTCGCCTGCGATGCCAAAGTCGTCCACGTGCGAGCCGATGACCCCGCACACGGTGCCGTCCTGGTCCTGAATGATCCAGATGCACGGCTCGATGAGGACGCTCTTGCCTCCTGCTTCGTGGATCTTGTGGTCCACATACTTCCAGAAAACCCACGGCGCATTCGTGATCCCGTAGATCGCTGCCAGGACTCGCATGGACTCCTCCTCATTGATCTGCAAGGCCTGCCGAAGCTCCTTCACGCCCTTCGTGTAGAGCTTCCTCCACTCCTCGGTGTGCCCGGCCTGCAGGAAAGCGGACTTCGCGTCGGCTAGCTCGAAGGTCCAGCCGTGGAAAGCAGCCATCTGGAGGAGTGCCAGCTTCCCTTTTCTTGAAATGGTTGGTGACGCCGTAGGAAGCACCCGATCTCCGAACTTGTCGCGACTGACAAGGTCCGGATGTGAGAAGCCCAACAGAATGATACGGGCCTTCGCCTTGAACTTCCCGTCCGGCGTGCTCACGGGGTGTGGGTCCGACTTGTCCGGTGGTTCAGGTGGCGTCAGAGGCTTCCAGGTCAGTAGCCACCTCATCTTGATCAGCTTGTCCGCTGGAATATCTTTTCCATGATTGTAGTCAGCGTAAGCAGATGCAGCCCGGACTGTCGGTACTTCCAGATGTTCCGCCAGCTCCCGTGCCATTGCCTCTTGGAACAGTGGCTTCTCCTCGGGACTCAGGCGGCCAAACGAGACCTCCACGCCCTTCTTGACCGTGTTGTTGGCCACGCGGTTCAGCTGCTTCTCCAGGTACGCGCTCGCATCGAAGCAGAACTCCTCAAGGTCCGCCTCGATCTCGATCTTCATCAGGTCCATCTCGGCCTCGTTATTCGGATCCCGCAAGAAGTTGATAATGTCGATCTCGCTGGCTTCCACATGGTCGCTCGCCGCCTTGAAGAGGGCAGCGTGAGCAACTTCAGCTGAGGCTCTTGATGAAGATGATCTCCCAAAACGCGGTTGGAAAGCTTCAGTCGGTACAGGTGGCCACGACACAGTCGGCGTCTTGCCTTTCAATCTTGTTCGCTTAATCTGTGGTGGCTCTGGTGCTGAGTTGTCCTCGTCTACCTCCTGGTCGTCATCTGCCTCCGTGACGTCGTGGGGTTCCACGGCCACATCGGGATTATCGATCACCCTCGGCATGCCTTCAAGAGGTTGACGTGGTAGCATCCTCATGCCATCTGCCGTTGGGTAGGGCTCCCCGGCTATGTCGTCAAAATCCTGGAGGTGCCTCCAGACATCCTCGAGCGGACTGTTGAGGATGTCGTCCTTCTTCAGGTTGATCTGGACGATCTCCGACTGCGTGGCTGGCCGCAGTTGCTCAGCTGCGCAGCGCCAGCATCGGTTGCCCATGATGACCCAGATCACGCCGTCCTTGTTGCCGGTCTGGACCGCCGGCTCGGAGAACAAGACCCGGCCCGGTCCGATGAACAAGCCGTCCGTGAAGAAATCCTGTCCGGAAAGCTTTCGCTTCCCTGTCGCAGCGTACGACCGCCAGACACAGACCCAGTCGCCTCGTTTATATTCATGTCGAGGTCGTGGGGCTGAGTTCTTCAGCTCTGAGATCTTCCTGGACGCCTTCTCCTTCAGGTAGGTCGCCTCTGCATCCGCTCGTGCCCGCTCGATCTCAAAGAAATCGGACTTCAACTTGCCAGTAGCTGCGTTATGCGCCAAGATAGGGTCCTCGGTCGGAGAGAACCCGAAAGCCCACTGCATCGGCGTGTAGCCCTTGATGTTGTCCATGTTGTTGGCCGCCGCAATCGAGATGTAAAACACGGTCTCGGGACTCAGCTTGGGGTATTGTAGGCGAAGCTTCCTCATTACCTGTTTGACGGTCGAGATGCGGCGCTCGATGTCGCCAGCCATCCAATGTGCTCCTCCTGGTTTCGCTGAGACGCCGATGCCGGCCAACTGGCAGTTGTCTTTCAACTCGCCGCCCACAAAAGAGGTCTGGGGATCGACGAAAACCCACCTTGGCTTGGGATAGTGTTGAAGGTAGGCTCTGGCAAACGTCGTGAACAGCGTAGCTGACGAATCTGTGCCCTTGTCTTTGAGGCCGATCTTCGCAGTGATGTCCCCGCACATCAGGCCGGTGGCGACCTCTGCGATGAGGAGAAACCTGGCCTTCACATTCAAGTCTGGGAACGTCAGGTCGGAAACGTCCATGACGGCTGCCTGCCAAGGTGCCATGGGGATGTCAAGGCTCGCCTTGACCTTGTGGGTAAGGCCGTGCTTGACTAGGTCGCATGCCTCGCAGCGAAGGTTGATCGCTTCTTCGATGATCCAGCGTGGACACTGTCGCTTCTTGCACCAGTAAGCCAAGTGCTCGTTCCCTGGATGCCCTGCAGCCTTGTGGATCCTGCTCAGCATCGCCCGAACCTGTTCCTTTTCGAGATCCGTGGGCTCAGCGACGTAGATGCTCCCGGTGTCCCGCTCCATCAGGTAGGCATTCTCGAGGTCGAGGACAGCAGGGTTCTCCAGGGCCATGTTGAGGTCGATCGGGGTCCGGAGTTGAGCATGCCATAGCCGGGCGATTGCCTTGCACATCGCCTGCGGGTAGTAGGCTGTGGCTGCAGTGTGCAGCTTCCCGCTGATGACTCGGTGACCGTGTGAGTGGTCACACACGGTCGCGACCTTGGAGAACTCCGGGTCGGTTGTCATGATCCTCCAGCCCTTCTCGACGAGCTCGTTAGTGTTGTAGTCCCTGAGGCCGTACATGCACCCGTCGATCCGATCTTCGAAGACGTGTCGCCCTCGACGCCTCAACTCCATACGAAGAAAATTGAGCTCGGGAATCTTCCAGCCTTGACACCTGTGAGGCCACTCGAAGTAGACCTCGCCTCCGTTGTCAACAATCTTTAGCAACAGGAGAACTCCATACTTCACACGTCGTCGGTCTCGAAGTCGGTCTTTCTCTAGGCGTGCACGTGCCTCTGGGGTCTTGTAGTTGAAGTTCGTAAGCGAAGTCCATAGCGTGCATGGTAGCGATATCCAAGCCCGCTTCGGCATCACCTCGTCCAGCTTCTTGCTAGCGGCCTCGAAGCCCGCCTTCGTGCTGAGGTTGTAACCGTTCTCGATGCTGATCCGCTCCATGCTGAGGCCGATGTTGGTGCACTCGTCGGTCAGCATGCTGTTGGGATGGCAGCAGATCTCCACCGCCTCGGTGATCGTACCCACGGTCATGGCCAATGCCAGTCCTGCGAGTAGTGACCTCCGACGTCCGGCCGCCAGAAGCTGCCTCGGCACCCGGCTCAGACTGGCCCGGGTACTGGTTC